CAAAGCGGGGGTACTGGGGGGGATGGGGGCTTTCTAGAATTTGGAGCAGTCACAAGCTTCTTCCCCCCCCCCTCCTTTTTACGGTAAGACAACATTTGGTGGACACATGTCCGTCTCTTTTACACAAAGCAGAATGTCCCCCTTTAGCAGACTTTGGAGATTGCTTTTCCTTCCTTGGGCTGTTTTTCCTGTCCTGCTCCATGTGTCTCCCAATATCTTTGCTATCATCATTTGAACTTCTGGCTTCTCCCTGAGCAGTCAGAGGGTGGCCAGTGCAATCCTGAAAAACCTCTGCTCTGAAAACCTGTAAACACAAATGCAAAAGCTGGAAATTCGAGGGAGGGAAGCAGGGTGCAGGGCGCCTTTCCTATTCAGCAGACCGGTTTTATGCCGAACAGCCTCTCCCTCATCTCTGAGCGAGCTGGACGCCTGCTTTTCAGTTGGTAATAAAGATATTTTACGGGATCCTAAAGGGCTTCAATGGCGTGGTCTTTAAAGGTGAATTTAGCCGCACAAACACGACAGGCTGCAGAGGGTTTGTCTACACGGGGTTAGAAACGCTTGGAGGAGAGGGGGTGTGGGGAGAGGTGTGTGATCGCCGTGGGGTGATGGCCTGCTAATTCTTTGCCCTTCTGATCTGTGCTGGCGACTAGAAATGATTTCTACTGGTTCAAATGAGAACGAGCGATTTAGGCAAGAAAAGTGACATCCCTTCGCCATAACGTATGTCTGAAAATGTCACCGTACGTTCAGTGCGTGCATGACCCACAAACACGGTGCTTCCAAAAGACATTCATCCACCCGTATAGCCATAGATCCATCCATCCATCCATCCACCTCTTCCCCATCCATCATCTGCATCGCTGTCCGATCCCCACGCGAGGATACTCTTTTTTTTTGTATAGTCCCAGGCAAACTTTCCTTCCAAATTCGCTCCGATCACAGGAGGCACGAGGGTTTTTTTTTTCTTTCTTAAGTACCACCATTTCCAATCACTTGGTGTACGCAACATGGTATTTCAAGGGGAAGAACGAGCAGCCCAAGGGGGCTTTGCAATGCAGTGTAGGTACAGGACATCGCAGAAGAGATGCAGATGCCTGTGCGGGTGACGACAGGTAACCACCCTGTGCCACCCCCTTGATTTTAGCATCCTCGGCACGGGGATGGCACCGGCCCTGTGTCACAGCAAAGGAGCAGGCACTGCTGGCATAATAGTATCACACACCACCCCCCCTTCCCATCGCTCCCAAGAAACCCTGTCCTCTCTGTCCACCAGAACTGCTTCTACCTGCAGCACGTACCGTGGTTTGGGGGTTTGGGGGTTTTAAATTTTTTTTTTTTTTTACAAGCTGGGTTTTAGGGCTTTTCGAGGGTTTTTTTCCCCCCTCTTCATGGTCTTAACCTCCAGCTTCCTGTGAGGCATAAGGAGGTATCACGGGCTACCATTTTGCAGCCTGGAAGGGGTCACAGGCTTAGCACAGGCTTCCCCCCCACCC